AAAACAATTATTTGTCCTGACTTGTTCTCAATTGTTTTCTAAAATTACAATACATTCACTTCGAGAACACTCCACACTGTGAGGCGTTGCTAGTTCTCCCCTTTAAAGTGGCACCGACATGAATTTTAAACCCATAAAAGACAATACTTTTTATGTTTCCGGATATTTTTCCTCTCATTTGATACCAAATACACAAAAATACATTCAGCTAGTTGGTTATAATAAGCTTTTTTATTCCGTGTATTTTGCCTCCCGTTGATTGGTTTCATATTGCCCGAGGCCAAGTTCCACTTTGTGCTCGCTGGCATGCATGACGTCACATCAGTGTGTGTTTGCGTGTGTGTCCAGAATGTCAATCACATAGCTAACTTTAACCTTGCCGTTTAAAATTAGTGGCCCTATGCCTATAACAGGATCCGCAAAGCCAGTTAGACTGTTAGTAAATTGTGGGGTTCTGGCCAATTAACACAATTTCACACCGTCAACAATTAACATTATTGCTAGAACGTAAGAGTAGTAGCATGCTGGCTACCTATGGGTCATACTGTGATCTGTGGCTAGCTGGCTAATCTCTGCTGTTTTCGCATGAAGAAGGATAAAAGGATGTCTTGTGCAGTAAATCTTGCGAACATACTTTAATGCATTTGGTCTCCAGATATCATGTCTCTGAAGCTTATAATGAATAGTTTAGTCAACATCAGTAAGTTGTGGTCGGGGACGTCTAGTGGATAACGCATTTGTAGGCGAATAGCTGCGAGGACCAGAGCTAACAGTGACCTTGGTCACCCTATAATTGCTGCATGGTATAAGTAAATCCGTGTTTTTTTAACTTATTGCTCAAACTGACATGGTTGGAACCATTTATCGGTATTGTACATCGCTAATTGCTTTTGCTGCAAAATAATTGATCGTATTAGTAGGGAAGAATTCCGTGTCCAACTTCCGCTTCTTCCAGCTTTTTTATTCTCCAGAACGATTTTAAAAGGGGCGCCAATATACAATGTATTTTGGGGGGTTTTATCAGTGAGAAGGGGGGTTTAGAATTTAATATTAATATTTAATATCTCCAATGAATATGCTGCGCACGCCCTCGCAACCCGGTGTGTCATCGGATAGACTGTATGAAAAGATGGACGCAGCAGTGTTTGAAGTTATTAGCTCCAAAACACAGTCTGCTTCTTGACCGTAGAATGTTCATGACAGGCTCCTATTTGAGGCATTGAGCTGCAGCATATGCTCGTCATTGGAGTACATTGGGGAGGGGTTACCAGTCAGTTTCTGAACCAGTATTTTGAACATCTGCGGCAATCAACAAAATACTATTGAACTGACCGCTGGCTAATAATCAGAACCCCAAAGAAAATAGACTTTAAATCTATAAGAACCGCAGTTTTCTCATCTATATCATACTCTAATGAAAATAAATAATCTTGCACCCGGACCAACAAGTCACCAATTTCACACATACATATAGTCTATTTTCTTTGGTGTTCCGATAATTAGCCAGCAGTCAGTTGAATAGTATTTTGTCGATTGCAGCAGATGTTCAAAATTCTGGTTCAGAAACTAACTGGTAATGTCAAACCAATGTACTCCAGTGAAGAGCATATGCTTATCTGCTCAATGCCTCAACTAGGAGCCTGTCACAAACAGTCTACGGTCACTAAGCAGACTGTGTTTTTGGGCTGATAACGTCGAACATCACCCTCACTTTCTGATATCACAGAGGTTGCTTTCTGATCTGCATTATTAGTCACCGAAGCCAAGTCCTAACAAATTTGTTCAATTTCACACCTTGATCAGTCGTGCTGGAGCAACCAAAAGCGACACCGATTATTCCCTTCCTTTTTTTACCAGTAGAAGCTGATCTGGGTGCCGTTATTTCCGCAGAAGATACTGAGCAAGACGGAGTGTTTACATTTCCCGCCATTGATACTGCAGCAAACTCAAACGACAACCCACAAGATCAACAGCAACCGCGTACACGCAAATACACTGATGTGACGTCAGACAACTGCTCTCTGCCAGGCGGCAAGAGTCGCGAGTTTTCGAGTGATGGAAATTTTGTATGGAAAGTTTAAACAGTGATAACACTGCTAAAAATGATAACATAAAAATACTAGGTGAGATGAATTAACTTATTTTAAGACTTAAAACACTTATTTCTATCACCATTTTTCTTAGTAAGACAAAAAAAAATTCTTGTTTTGAGGTAATTTTTACTAGCTTGCCAATGGGGTAAGTAAATTTCACTTGTCAAGTCAAACACAAGTTACTATTTGATATGTTTTCCTATGGTGAATGCTGTGCAAAAAACCTACTCAACCTGGTCCCCAGGGGCATCACATGTGCTTCGTATTATACAGCATAGTGTAATGGTTTACTTTTAATATAATAAAAAAAATAATAATAACACGCTACTGAATGCTTAAAAAATTATCCATAAATGTGTATATAAGTGTGTGGATATAACGTATATATTTTCCCATCTGCCGTATTACTTTAAAACTCCACCTTACAAAACATGACCTCGGGATATAGTGAGGTGTCCTTAATGGGAATGATGGGATGGTGATGTCGGATGAGGAAGTGCGGATATTCGGGAGGTGGTAGCCAAAGGTGGTTGCAGGCCAGTGTCGGTGCTGGAATTAAAAATAAAAAATACCATAAAGGAGAAATTAGCTACGAGAATTCCTCCAGCTACTTTGGTTGTTTAGCTGCCCCGAGGAGGATCTTCAGTTGTGCCAACCAGTCAAGTCCTGGATGGTTTATTCTCAACCACGGCTTACAGCATTCACACGGAGAGACGGCATCTTCATGATTTGAAAAGTATTTTTTTGATCTATTTTATCAAGCTGGATTCTGGTCTCTAACACACAAAGTTCTTCAAAAGCCTGCAAACTGGTCCTCGCTGGTATCAAACTCTCCCAAGGCACTGAATTCAATTAAACATTCACTTTCCGATCAAATCTACACAGTGACTTTTCACTCTGGCCCGATTCTACACCAGACCTATCCCCTTATTTCATTTATTTAAATACCCTTCCTTCCTTGCAGTCTAATTCAGACAAGAAGTCATAACTTGCTTTATCATGTGTTTTTTTTTTCTTTTTCTTGAGAATGCTTTAATTGATTCGTTAATACCTTTGTTTATTTCCTTGAGTTTTGCTTGAGGAAAAAACTGAAATAGCTGAATTTGGGATTGCTTTTCGGAATGTTATGGATGGACACTGAATGTTAAAGTTTTTTCGCATTACTTTTCTTTCTTTTTTTCATGGATTTCGTTTGGGAGAATTGAAGGAAATTCTATGGTTTTGTCTTATATTAATACATTCTGTTTTCACTCGAATATACTTGTTTTGATGTTTTTCTAATATTTGTGGTGAAGCTGAATAGTTTCTTTCTTTGGTTGAATATTGACCTGGCGCCCGAACATTATTTGAAATAAGACTATTTGACGCTACACTAAAATAGGAATGGCTTTTCTGAATATTTCTTTGGAGTTGAAATTAATAGATTACTTTTGAAATAGATCTTTTTTGTCCTCAGTTCTGGTATTTTAAAATATTCTGACATGTTGCAAAGTCCAAAGTGTCCCCTTTCACGTTCAACGTACAGCTTAAATGTACACTACATCTGGCACATTTCTTACTTTTTCAGATAATATTGCTGGAATGGGTCACATAGTGTCCCGTGATCATCATTTTCTCACTTTCTCTTTGTATGCTTTTGAGAGGGGGAGGGGGTCAGGTCATTAGAGTACTCTTTGTACTCTTGTGAAAATGATGAAAAAAATGGATGACCCCTTACTTTCCAGCCTTTGTTGCTCCTCTTCCAACTTTTTTGAGATGTGTTGCTGCCATCAAATTCAAAATGAGCTAATATTTTTCATGAAATAGTAAGATGTCTCACTTTCAACATCTGAAATGTTGCCTATGTTCTATTGTGAATAAAATGTGGGTTTATGAGATTTGCAAATCATTGTGTTCTGTTTTTAACAATTTACACAGCATCCCACCTTTTTTGGAATTGTGGTTGTAGATAGGGCAGTAACTAACTGAGAACCACTTTTTCAAAAACCTTTGACAGAAATGAATGTTAGATATAGGTCAATATTTGTTTGGTGAGGTAGGGTCTAAATTGGGTTTTTTCAGGAGAGGCTGGACCACTGCGTGGTTGAAGCAGGTTGGAAGAGTACCAATGGCTAGGGAGCTATTTATAATATTGAGAACGCGAGGACTGGCTATGTCAAAGACCTCCTTCAGGAGGGCAGGAGGGACTACGTCAAGAGAGCAAGTCGTAGGTTTCATCGTGGAAACAGTTAAATTTAGACGAACAGACTAGTGAGACGGCTAAATCGCGGGTGGGGGGGAGAAATTTTCATTCTGATGTCCTCAACTTTGCTAATAAAACTTTTTTGAAATTCAGCACGCTCAGCAGGAGACACTCGTAAGCTGGTCCTGGAGGTGGGACAAATGACAGAATTAAAGGTACTGAGTAAGACCTTGGGATTATGAGAGTTGACAGATACTATGTTCGAAAAGTATTTTTCTCTCGCTGCTTTAACTGCTTCTTGACATTTGAGAAGATTACTTCTCAAAATTTCAAAGGAAATTGTCATTTGTCATATTTTCATTTACGTTAAGATTTCCTGCACTCTGTCCTTAGTGTTCTAGTTGTGTCAGTAAGCCACAGCAGACCCTTAGGCTTGGGCTTTTTTGATTTAAGGCAGAGGTGGGCAACGAGGGCCATATCTGTCCCTGGTTTTCACGCCAGCTTCTGGCCTTTAATTAGTTGATTATCTAAATTAGCCAAACCATTTATGAAATCTGACATTTCTGGAGCATTTCTTTAAATTATCATGAATGACCACCAAATACTATTCTAGTCTCCCTTCATAAAACATTTTTCTTTGATCTAATCATTGCACAAATCTATATTTGTGTATGCAATCAGTTAACTCAATTAGTCGGGGTAATTGATAGAAATAAAATCCTAGAGTTGCCGGATAGCTCACTCGGTTAAGGCACTGCATTGCAGTGCAGAAGTGTCTATCACGACGTGGGTTCGATCCCCAGTCGTACCAACCGGCAGTGGTTGGCAGCTTTTTCAGAGTAGCGCACAATTGACCATTGCACTACAGGGTTGCAAATTGGGAAGGGACTGCCGGGAAGGGAAAATAATAGTTGCTTTGTTTGTTGCTCAAGCGCCTCCTGTTGGCCAGACGGGCACTCATCAGGAAGATTCTAAGCCTGTTCATGTTCGGGTATCCTCCGCCCTCGTTCTGAACTTGCGATGATTCAACCAATGAGTGTATAAGAAGCGGTGGCTCACGGGTGCGTGCTTCGGAGGAGAGCCGCGAGCTGTCTTCACTCTCCTGAATTGGCAACAAGGGGTCACTAATTAGCAAGTCTTGTACATAGTTCACCAATTGGGTATGCCAGATTCGGGTGGGATTGGAGATGACAAATTTAAATAAATAAATAAATAAATAAATAAAATCCGGCATACACACTGGCCCTCCAGAACCGGAATTGCCCACCCCTGATTTAAGGGGAGCAACAGTATTCAATGAAGAAGTGCAGGTGGAGTTAAATAAGGATAATAGGCCCTCAGTGGTGAGATGGGGAGGAGAGGCCTCAATAGTGCAGGTATAAGGAGCAGCAATGAAAGCTTCAGAAAACTAATTGGCAGTCGAAGAGTTGATGTAATGAGAGCAGTGTATAGGAAGACGAGATTTAACAGGAGAATTGGACAGAGATGCATGAAATATAACAGCACTATGATCTGGCAGACACACATCAGCAACAACGTATTTCCATCTTACAGATGGGAAAACCAGACGACAATACAAGGTCAATTGTATGGCCTAACTTTTGAGTAGGTGCCGTTACGAGCCGCGTAAGATTAAAAACTTCAACAAGATGCATAAAATCTCTTACAAGAGGCTTAGCGGGACAGCAAACATGGAAATTAAAATCACCAAGAATCAGAACACAATCAAAGTTGGATATGGTATTTTAAAGGAACTCCGCAAACTGATCTATAAAATTTCTATGCATTTTTCGTAGACGATACACAAGCACAGTTAAGAAGGGATTGCCTGGATCTACTTTAATTACTTGCACTTCGAAACTGGGGGAATGACCAGAATTCATTGACAGTTTAAATTCTTCTTGAACACAGGGGCTAGAGCACCACCACAACCAGAGGATCTGGGAGTGCTAAAAAATTGCAGTTGTCCGGACAGACTTCAATAAGTGGAGCAAACTCGCCAATGTTAAGCCAAGTTTCCATTAAAGTAAAAAAGTCATGAAGGATAAAAGTTTTGTTGGATACGGATCTCACGTTGATCAGAGCCAGTTTGACTGGTATGGCTGCATCGGACAACGGCTCCCACGGCAGAGAGTGGACATTCTGGAAAACTATGCCACCGTGCTCCACAGAAAACCTGGCAGAGAGCCCGCAAGGAAGCAGTCTGGCTTCCAGGTCTGTGTCGGGGATCATCGGTCAAAGGAAGGCGTACCTGGTCTCAAGGGAGTGCCGAAGAATGAAGCACCGAACATGTCCAACGACGTGAAGGTGAAAATGGTAGGCTGGTGGGGCACGATAGCGGGCAAGATTCTGCAGTACAACCGAGGTGCCAGCACGTTTACCCCACCTCCGAGCTCGTTTCTTATGATGGTAGCCGCAGGCCCGAGCCCATATACCGTCTGATGCTTAGCAAAATAGAATGTTGCAAGAGGCACGGTGTTTGGGATTCCGAGTATATAAGCCCACAACAGCGTCTCAAATGATCAATAATGTTTGCTGGTGATAGACAATTGTGGCTTGCACATCATTGAGATGCAGACACACATAGAGCCAGGAAAAACAGGAGCGTTAATAGGCGACGACAAGCAGCCAAACGCATCGGCGTGGCCATCATCCCATGAATGACATAGTATCAATACCATGATGAATTTTTGCTTCAAAAAACTGATTTTATTTTCATAAGCTAATTGGGATTACTTTGGCCTATTATAGCTGAAATGGTTGCAACAAAGCACAACAATTTTTCTGTCACAGGAGATCATTTTTATTGACCGCTGAATAGCCACTATGGGCAAGTATATTAGGCAGTTTGGACATCAAGCTTGGCTGAGAAGGTTAATTCATACAATTCCTGGAAAACAGTGATTGGACTGAACTCATCCATATTCTAAATTGTTTACAGGCACCACTTCCTTGTGAATATTCAATAACCGTTTTTAGTGTACAACCTATTGATAGGATAAATAGGGCAACTCCATGTCCACGGGCGTCTACAACTGCACAAGGGAGTTGAACAAGGGAGTATCTGATAGTCAGTTACAACAGAGTATGTCCATAAAATGTAAAAAAAAATTAAGAGCGGTTGTTTGCAATAAGGTTGTAGAAATTTTCCCTGATGTGGTACAACATTCATGGATAAAATGACAATTTGTCGGAGATCATGTATGTGCTGACTACTTGTGTAAACACAAAGTCAGTATTTGTAACCTAAGAGATCAGGTATTCTTCATCTTCTTTTCAGGCCAGCCTCATTTGCTTTGGTTGCCTAAGAGTCTTTACAATTAACTTCTTCCTCTCAGGACTTTCCATTAGAGTTCATATGTGACTTCCTAGATGTCTGTAACACAAACCTAGGCTCCATCTGGGACCATTTTGGCAATGTAAGTCATTGTAATTGTATTATGTCAAGTTCGACCTTCAAAGGTCACCAACAGTCAAGTTGAATGTCACCAAATGACAGTTCATGTGTGACTTCCTTAAAGTCTGTGATACAAACCTAGGCTCCATCTGTGACCTTTTTAGTGGTAGAAGTCATTGAATTTTCACTAGGTCAAGTCTGACTTTCAACGGTCAATATGAAGGTCACCAAATCAAAGTTCATATATGACTTCCTATAAGTGTTCAATACACATATATTCCCGATCTTCAATATTTTCAAGCCTAGAAGCCTTTGAAAATTGTAACATTTGCTTGAGCTCAGGTTTGACCTTTCAAGAATGTTGGCAGTTATGCAATACATTAAAAGTAAGGACAAAGGTGCATATATAGTAAGCTTAGATGCTGAGAAAGCCTTTGATAGAATTGAATGGATATATCTCTTCAAGGTTCTAAATAAATTTGATTTTCCTCTAACTTTTATACATTTGTTTAAATTATTTTATACAGACCCAAAATCAGCAATCTCAGTGAATGGTACAATCTCACCTGCTTTTTCTATAAACAGGTGCACAAGACAAGACTGCCCTCTGTCACCGCTTTTGTTTGCTCTTGTTATGGAACCCTTGGCGGAAGCCATTAGATCAAATGAAAGAATAACATTAAAAACGAAGAGTAATACGCACAAACTTGTCTTGAATGCAGATGATGTTTTGTTGTTTTTAACCAACCCAAGTACTTCTCTGCCAGAACTTAGCGAGATTATCAATATTTTAGTAGTTTTTCAGGATACAAGATTAACTTTGGGAAGTCAGTGGCCCTACCAATGGGCTGATAAAGAGAGGGTAAGCATGACACCCCATTTCAGATAACTAGTTGTGGTATTAAATATCTTGGAAATTTTTGTTGCAGCTGCAGCAATTAACAAAACACAATTTAGTACCAATTATAGCTCAGATCAAAAATGATTTAAATAGGTGGTCTGTGCTTCGTCTTTCTATGTGGGGAAGGATTGCATTAATTAAAATGAACCACTTACCAAAGATATTGTATCTTATTCAAATTATGCCAACAGATATACCATTAAAATATTTCAGAAATGTGCATAAATATATATGTAAATTTATATGGGATAATAAAAGACAAACATGCAAATTAGTAAAATTACAGCTTCCTGTCTGAAGGAGGCCACTCAGCACCAAATTTTAGGTTCTATCTGTAATGGCTGGTAGTATACGAAGGCCAAGCGCAACGACAGAGGGAAAGAGAGCAGCACGAACACAGTACAAACACAGAGAATAATATAGACCAAACGCAAGTACTCGCCCTTCCAAAGGACGTATAATAGTCCGAACCACGGAAGCAAAGCGAGATAGAAAAAGGGAGAAGAAACTCCAACAATAAGAAGATAGAAAGTTATACCAAACCTGACTAAAGATATCTTCGGCTATAGTGCGAATCTAAACACAGACACTCTAGCGAAGGAGGCGTGGCGGACATCCTGCTTATATGGATTCTGGGGAAGCGCCGCCCCAGCTCAATCAACCAGCTGGGCAAACAGTTCGATGGCCCAGGAATTCAATATCGTCCCCAGACGAGAGCCGCAAAGAAAGATCCAAACAATACACACACCTCACAAACCATGACACTATCACTGGGCTTCTCAAATGAGACACATTACACTGGCTAAAAGAGGATTCTAAAACAATATTCACAGATTTTGAACTGATAGGATGCAAATCATTATTACCGTCTGATCTACCATTCATAGAGAGAACTAGACTGCATACTTTGATACAGGACAATTTTATAGTTAAAAATATTTTAAGCACTTGTTACAAAATTTGTAAATATTATGGGATGGTGGGATCAATATCCTTTCTCGCTCCTGTGGTTAATAACCCGCACTTCCCTCCTTCTTGTGAAGACACTGGATTCAGGAGATGGAGGGAAGTAGGGATAATTAATATAAAGGATCTGTTTGATGGATAGGTTATGAAATAATTCCTTCAGTTGAGGACAGAGTTTGGATGAGAACAAAAACAATTTTTTAGATATTCGCAATTGAGGAATTATCTTCACTCTACTCCCCAGTATAGGAAGAAAATTGAGATCAGCTTTCCAGAAAGGTTGTTATTCAAATCTGCTTCTACACATAAAGAGACATGAAGTTATTTATTCAGGGAATTGTTAAAAAGAAGAATAGACTGATACTGAGGCAAGTAGATATTCCTGGGTATCAGATTTTGTGACCACAATTAGTCAAGATGATTGGTGAACAATATTAATAAATGCAAAAAAGATAAGTAGCTCAAGTAAGTCTCATGATACACAATTTAAGATCATTCATAAACTGCATGTTACCCAGTTCATTAGAACCAAATATGATCCTGATTG